CTAGAGGTATCCTCGACGCGTCCATGCTCGCTTAAAGTGCCTCATCACGCGGTACTGCAGGCCGACCACGTGCGGATTAGCTCCGGCCGTTTGCTGACTGATACGTTCCGTCCGGCCGTCGATTTACGTCCGCTGGCTCGGTCGCGTTGACGGAAACGAAGGGGCGTGATGACTGGGGAGTGGTAATACCAATGACTCACTGCGACGCGGGCCTCCGCCGTTCCCGGAGATAAATAGTTACGAAAGTATTCTTCCGGTTGACTTCGGAGCGTCTGGCTGCGGAGATAAATCATATTGTTGATCTGCGCCTGCCTTGAGGACGTTAGAAGGTCCGGAATTAAATCCAGAACCCTTCGCCGGTTACTTGTAGCGTAAGCAGTTCGACAGGTGGTGTCGAATAAGCTTTGGAGGGGATGTACGATGTGTCAATCTCGCAATTTCTGGGGTCAGAAGATCGTTGGGGCTTATCAGCGGGGCGGATGACATCAATCAATCAAAGAATACTTTGGCGGCATCATCATGTGGTTCCCGGCAAGGGGAAACCTTGGAATCGGCATGGCAAGCCGATATCACATGAACCCGGAACTTAACCGTGCCGGTATGCCGTTCGCACAGTATCGCTGACGCGTACAAGGTTTTATTTAGAACAACCAATCCCTTTCGAAGAATTACAGAGGTAAAGTTTCTCCGTAATTTGAAATGTCCCAGAAAGGTAGGGCCATTGTTCCTCGGCTGTTCGGCAGCCGACGGCATCGGCTCGGAGCTACGGGAAGTACTTCCGCTTAGTCGTGCACACTGACTTAGCGGCCCGTCAAATTTCAAAATACTACGCAGACCTGAAGAGCATAAAATGCGAAACGGGTAGAGGCTTAGTTCCCCAGAGAACTAGCCCGTTGTCTGCTAGTTTCGCTAACTCTAGTCACTCTCCGACTCGCTGCGCTCGTCGTCGAGTGCCTCCCTAACCCTAACCCCTAAATTTGGGAATCCGTGCAGTTTGCCACAGCCTGAGAAACAGAGCAGTGTCACCTCGCTGATTCCCACAGTCGCTCCAACGCTCCTACCGACTGGGGTTCCCCGCCGGCAATGCTGGTATCGCAACTTGGGTCACTGAACATTCGGGACGGCGATATCGAGATGTTTTTGGCCGTTGCGTCTTCTTCCACGGGTCACGTCAATGCTTCGGCTACTACGAACGGCGATACTGGCGCACCTGCGAATGCTACGCCGCCTGTCCCTTCCGACAACAATTCGCAGCCTCAGCGCAACGAGGGGCACTTTTTCTCTTCAGCTCCCGCTGGTCAAACTGGAGCGGATCAAAACTAACTTCTCTTTGTTAGCTTTGTGTAAGTATTCTTCGGAATACTTAGGAGGGCGGATGTGAGGATTCGGCCTAACCGTTCTTCCTTTGTCGCAGGTTTCGACAGCCACACTATTACCTAAGACTTTCTCATAGCGTAGGTATATAAGTAGCTCCTTCTACTCGATGTACCTGGGTTGTTCTCTTGCTCTTCGCAATAGATCTTGGTTTGGTGATTGCGCTGTGCGACTCTCTTCGAACCTCGTCTAAGAACGACTCTAGTAAGGCGCTTAAGTAAGCTGGGTACCTTACAGCGACCCTCGGGTTGAATACCGCGGTGGCACCCGCCACCCGCGCCCTACCTTAGGCGAGATGGTTCCTAAGTGTCTGTTACCCATGTTCTGGGTTAGGGCCCCCTCTCGATTATGTGGTACTGTACAAGCTAGTAACTGCACCGTGAACCGGGAACATTCCAGCCAGAGTAGTCCACGTATCAATCTTAATCAAACTCAATGATCACCTTCAACACCTTGTTCTTCGCCGCAGCATCAAAAGCTGAGTAAGCTTCCACAATATCTGCGAATTTGTAGGTATGAGTGACAAGCGGTCTTGCGTCAATTTTGCCGGCCTCAACCAGCTTGACAAGCATTGGGATTGTGACAGTGTCAACAAGGCGGGTCGTGAGAGCTGGAGAAATCAATGCTGTTCATAGTGATCACGAGCAACATTTATTGTGTGCGGACGTACTGATGTTCTTGTTCCACAGCCGTCCCATGTCCAAGGCGACAGTGGAGCCATGGATACCTATATTTGCGATTGTACCGCCGACGCCGATGATCTGCTGGCACATATCAAACGCAGCTGGTAACCCGACAGCCTCAACGGCGGTGTCCACCCCAGCGCCATCCGTAAGTTCCATCACCGCCTTCGTAGTATCCGGCCCCGACACTAGAACGTGCGTGGCACCCATCTGAGTCGCTAGTCGCAACCGATTTTCATCAGTGTCAATTACGATGATCTTCATCGGCGAATAGAGGTGCGCAGTCAGCACCACCCCCAAGCCGACTGGACCAGCTCCGACGATTGCCACCGTCGAACCAGGTTTCACTCTTCCGCTCAGCACGCCGCACTCGAGCGCGGTGGGTAGAACGTCTGCAATCATCACTGACCCGACATCGTCCACCTTATCCGACACCTTATTCAAACCAGTGTCGGCGTACGGAACGCGCACGTATTCTCCGTGGGTACCATCCAGGCTGTTCCCTATCACCCAGCCGCCGGTTGTACAATGACCGTAGGTCCCGCGTTTACAGAACGCGCACGTTCCACACGGGATAATGCCGGTGACGATCACCTTGTCGCCTGGCTTGAACGTCTTCACGGCAGGGCCGACTTGAGTGATAATACCGACGCCTTCATGACCAAGGATACGGCCGGGTGGAACGGTCGTTATTTGGCCGTGAATGATATGCAGATCGGTGCCTACCTCAACATGAACGTGAGCATGTTACGAGTACGGCGGAGGTACGTACCGCAGATCGTCGTTTTTGTCATTTTTACGATTGCATCAGTTGGGAAGACGATCTCTGGTATCGGACGTTCTACGACCGCATATTCGCCCTTGCCGCAGACAGCTAATCCCTTCATAGTCGCCATTTCGTAGGACGCGATGAGTCTCACCGTTGCCCGTTTGGTTGAGAGATGGTTGAGGAGACGATGCGCGTGCGATATAGCATGAGCAGCTATCGAGTTCGCATGACTGAAATAACCGCGAAGATAAAGAGCTAAAAGTATCGTCAGATAATGTCACCTGGGCACGGCTGTACGGGACGGTGCAGCGCAAGGTCCACTGATAAATGGATTGCTTCCAATCAGTAACACATGCAGGTGCGTATCGGCCGCGAAACTCACCTACGGCGTCGCTCTGCCCTATTGCGCGTGGTTGATGGAGTCCCGCACGCCCGGTTCAGGGGATTCATAGGGATTCATACTTGTCGCTTGATATCGGGTCCCGGAGGATCGCACTGCAGCATATACATTGACCATTTACCGGCTATTTACATTTCCTTTGCAATGTACAATAACTTTCTTAGCAGACTTCGACACCAAAGGGATCAATCTGTACAAAGAGACAGCTAGTTAACCTAGAACCGTGAGCGTAGCGTAAACCTCGAGAGCAAAGAAGCACGGGAACCCGCATTAGAACGTAACGTATAGCATACTTGTAACCGAATGAAAAGGCATGGTCATGAACGTCATAATCAGATATCGTACCGAATGCAGCATCTTCCCTTCTACCTTGGTCTTCTAACGTACATCTCACGCCTTTCCGCTCGCTGTCATGAGGGCCTCGAGCCGCTCCTCGAGTCCTTTGCCGAGACCTTCGCGTTCCCACTCGCCGCCGTCATCCTCGAGAAGGATCGGATCCAGAGGACCTTCCTTCATTTGGGCCAAGCCGGCGGCAACACCGTGGTGGATGGAAGACGCCGCCGAATGCGCCTGGGACTGCGTCTGCGTAAAGCCGCTCACGGTGGGGATATGCGGCGGAGGATCGTTGACCATCGCGGACGAGGTAAGGGAAGAGAGCGGGAGAGTCGAAGCAGGCGTAGACGAGAGGAGGTCCGAGTAGGACATGAACGACAGGCGCTTGGCGGCGTTGCTCTTCGGCGAGGGCGGATGCGAGATACCGGTGCTGTTGGTGGCGGACAAGGCTGCGGCTGAGGGCGAGGTCGCCGACGCGAGGGTGTTGTGAGTCTCGGCAGGAGAGACTGCGCTCGATGTGGGGGTGTGCAAGGTATCGGACGGGTGCTCAACGGTAGTGGTAGTCGGCGACGAGCCGGCGGACGAGAGTGACGCAACGGAAAAGTACGCCGACGTCGGTGTCGACAGCGGCTGCGGGCCATCCGACGGGGTGTGGACTTCGGATCGCTGCTGCGGCTGGGTCTGCACACTAGGACGGATAGGCGAAGAGGGGCCATTCACGGAGCTTGTCCCGTATAACGGACGCGCATGACTGGGTGGGGGAGAGGGCAGGCTGAGGAGGAGACTCGTCCGGTTCGCAGATGCGCCAGGGCTCGGGCTACGGCTCCGCCCACTCTCGATGGGAGATGTGAAGCCGCTCGCATACCCGCTGACAATTTCGGGTGCGGGCGCGACGACTGCGACGAAGTCTTCATCTTCGGGGGACGTGGATGTCAGAACGGCAGCAGCGCTGTCGAGGACCGATGGCACGCTCTGTTCGATCGCTTCTGTGCCCTTCGAGCGCGGGATTAGATGAGGATTCTGGGGGTGGGATGGAGGTGACGGGGTGAGAGGTTCGATGTCGCGCTCGAATATCGCGGACGATGAGGAGTGGCTACAAAACAGAATAACGATTAGCAGTAGAACCAATGGGCATATCCGTGAGATAGAAACGGAGGGTGGGCCTGTCGAAACGCCGTCTCGAGCCTTGCTAGTATGATCCGGTGGCGATATACAAGCCCCGCTGCAGTGATAAGCTCCTGCCCTACGCCCTGCCACCCGTTTCAATAGACGCAGAGCCCTTCCAGAAATAACACGCCCCCAGCGCCTGGCATTCCCTCGATCACCACGGATGAGCTACGCCAGGCCCAACGGGTTCGATCCAGGCTTGCCCGCCGTAACATCTCTTCCCACCGCAGCGCACGGAGAACCGACGATAAGAGAAACACTTACACGGATGTTGGTGATGAAGGAATTGAGGCCGGAGACCTAGATCCGAGCCGGGGCGCTGTCTGCAACAGCTGCGACTGCCGCGCCGAGAGACGGTGCTCTCGATTCGAGTCGCGGGGCGTCGCAATATTCGTGTTCGAAGTTATCCGCCTGAGCTCTGACGGCGGCGAGCTCTGCCTCGAGATCGAGGGCGAAACGGAGAGGGTCGATTCTGCCAGCAGCCGTCAGCAGCCGTTGGGAAAGCACGCCTCGATAAATGACTCACGTTGTTGCTGCTCGGTAGTCGTCGAAGACATTGAAGGCCTGACGAAGATTAGAGAATAGTATACAAGTAGAGATGGTAGCAGATGAGAGCGTTTGCGGTGGCCTCGACGGTCGTTGTAGTGTCTTGTAGTGATTTCGGAGTTGAAGCGCTTTCCCATAACCGCGATCTAATGGCAGCTATCACGTGGCTGAAATCATTCTGTCATTGCCCCACCGCTCGAGTCTTTTCCGTCCCCTTTGCATCCGCCCTCCTCGGCAGCTCGCTCGTCGGCCGTCCCGTTGTCGGCAGTCCTTTCGGCGCCGTTGAACCCGACGCATCTAGCATCGGGTTTCATATGCAAGAAATATTTGTATTTTCTACCAGACCGCCCGGTCTCCTCTCGAAACGGCCCCAACTTTCGTGGGTTCTTGTGTGGGTCTGAACTCTGATTTTATTAGATATCGGAGTATGGCACCCACCGCATTGCTCTCGTACGTCGCTCCCTGACATCATTTTCATTGTTGATAAATGTTTTGGACTGTGGGACTATTAGGTATCCTGCGGCGCAGAAATTTGAGAGCCTGAACCCGATCCGCCGTAGTAGGATGAGCCTCCAGGTCGTAGACACGCCAGAAAATGCGACCGATCTCCCCTCTGATACAGTGATGCTCTGCCGCAGTCTCGACGCAATTGCAGCACTCCGATGCAAGCCAACCGGGTTAAAGATTTGCCTATGGTATGTCGAATAATCGAAACTTCGTCCACGGTAACTCCATTTGTCATCCTTGCAACTATAGGTTCAGCCCTCACTCCAAGGCTACCGGAAGGAGGTTGTTTGTGCCGGGACTCGTGCGCTGAGCTCGTGCTGTAAGGCGCACTGCTCAGCAGTTCCATCAGATGATACCCGTAGCGAACAGCAATCTCCCTGCCCGACGCACCACTACGAATATACTCTTAGGTGATACGTCAGGCGCGATTCAACGCATTTTCCTCTCAAGATCTTATGCCGCAGCTCGTAGAATCCGCTCGTTGCGGACGTTCGCAGTGCCCGCATGACCGCTGTGGTTGCTGAGGATATGGTGGTGCTCACATTGAGACGATGTCTGTCGAGACATTGGCGTTTCGATGTGAGCGATACCGTATCCATAAGTCACAGCTGTTTAAGAGGACGGTCGCGATTCAGGTCGTCGATGCCTGAGACTCCAGGCACAGCTCAAGGCGGTAGGTTAGGTAGGGTATTTCTACGGAAACTTACTTGCGTAAGTGATGGTTGACCGCTGTGCTTTTCGACTATCCAGTACTATTACTATTTCGCCACTGCCGTACTTGCTTGACATATGCTACAAGCGCTAGCTCAGCCTTACAACCCTCCCTGAATTTCCGACCCTCTTATAACCCTCCAGTGGCGCTCGCAGTTCTACACGCTCACGATTGTAGCGGATCCGTGAGGCTCCCGATATCCAGCCTGTTCTTTAATAGGTCACCTTCCTCGATCTCCTTCCGCCTCTTCGCCAGCTCGTCCAAGTCCCACGTACAGCTCACGAATCTGCCGCTAAGGTAGTCCTCGGATCCGCTCGTCAGACGCACTATCGAATGACTCGCGACCTCCACCTTGTCCTGGAGGAGCTCCACAATTGAAGGTTCGTTCAGAGCTAGCTCGGTGCTGTATAGTTATGCATTACTGTGAGCTTCTGCATTTCCGGGAAGCCAGGTCTTAGTAGGACATACACGATACCGCCCGGGTGGACCGAGAACACCTTCACGCCGTCTGAGCCGTACTCTGCGATAGTGGACAATCAGCTGGGACGTTGACGAATGCCGCTGGACTGGGAAGGCTTACCAACTTGGATGAATTCTACGAAGCGGTTTATCGCGTGCTTCGAAGTCTGGTACCCGCTCGCACCCAACATTCGGGCTTGAGCTCCGAATGACGAGAGTAGGACCGCGTAGCCTTTGGCGGCGACCAAGTGCTTGATTGTGTGGTGAACCACGTTGAATGTACCACCTGAAGTTGCCGTGAACTGTAAGATCCATCCGTTCGTCCCTTTTGCAAATGTCACTTACGGATGTTGATAGTCTGGTTGCCCAGTCGGCAGCTTCGTCAGGAGAGACAGCCACGAGATCAAAGACTCACCATGGTCTTCCACCACTCGTCCGGGTTCGCCTCTCCTATCTTTTTCCACTTCTCCATATAACCGGCGTTCGAGATCACGATATCGATCCTCCCGAATTTCTCAATGCATTTCTTGACGCTCTCGCCTACCGCCTTCTCGTCCGTGATATCCAAGCCGTACGGCTCAACGGCAACCGAAGTAGAGATCTTGCGCGCGGACTCGGCGACGGACGCTAGTACGTTCGCCGACCTAGCGGTAATGAACAGTCCACTCGCGCCTGCTTTTGCGTAGGCATAAACCGTCGACTCCCCGACGCCCCGGCTGGCCTATACCGAAGTACGACGCGATGTCAGCTAGAACTGATGCGTAACGGCGCGCACGTACCCCCGTGATGTAGACTACTTTCCCCTTCGCGGCATCCTTCAGGCGCGTGTCCAGGTCGATCCCTGGATATACGTCCTTGTACACCGTGATGGCGGGGAATTCTGGATGTGGAGCCATGTTGTACTATCTCAGCTGGACGAGCCATGCTAGGTGTATTATATAGTCCTTCTCTTACTGCTTTAGCAGTATTTTGGCTTTGGGGGTCATAATAGCCACCAATCGTGCTTTGATAAATTATGTGGTTCTTGGTAAGCAGGCAGGCTGAGGCAACGATTGCGTGTTGCGATGCCGCTTTCGTCGGATTGGCTGACCAGCCGTTCGTCTCTCAGGATCAGGTTTTCGTTGGTGTGCGCGGTTCCTGATGACTACCAGAGTCCGTAAGGTGTGTCTCGATAGGTCTGACTGGACATTGATGTGCTATGTCTCTGTCGTTCCGTGGCATTCTTGTAGCAGTACCTGTGGATGGACCGCACATGATGCATGATGGTTTGAGTTAACAATGGAACCCTCGTTACTGTGACTGTTTCCCATCGATGATGCTTGCCTGACGTGCGCCACAAGCATTCGCCAGCTCGTCTTCTCTAACTTGAAAGGTCTTGAACGTTCTCGGACGCGTCCGCTGGCCTAGACTTGATGGATTGTGGACCATGTTATGACACTGCAGTCGACATGATCGTATACGGTCACGATAGAGCAAATCGGCGAGGCTTCCGATATCTATCCTGTTCTTCAATAGGTCGTCCTGCTCTATCTCCTTCCTCTTCGCCAACTTGTCCAGGTCCCAAGTACACATCACCTATCTACCGCTGAGATGGTCCTCCTACCCACACGTCAATCTCACTATCGCGTGGCTGCCGATCTCCATCTTGTCCTTGAGGAATTGCACAACGGATGGATTACCCTTCGCTAGCACGGTACTGCATCACCGCAAGGTTGTGGAGGTTAACAACGTAGGCTGATATAAATCAATCCCGTCGGGACTTACACGATAGCTCCTGGGTGGACCGCGAATACTTTGGCACCTTCGGAGCCGTACTCTGGCGGTAGACGGTCAGCAGGAAGTTGATGTACCCCTTCATCAGGAAGACTCGCCGACTTGGATAAACTCTGCAAAGCGGTTTATCGCATGTTTCGACGTTTGGGATCCACTGGCTACCACACGCCTGAGTTGCGCGCCGAAAGATGACAACAGGACAGCAGATCCTTTACTGACCACCAAGTGATCAATGCGAATGACGTTGGACGTACCGCCTAGGATTTCCGTGAACAGTCAGAATCGCGTCCGTTCACTACCGGAAGGACACGTACGGATGTTAACAGTCTGAACTCGCCGTTCGATATGTTGGTCAAAAAGTGACTGGGAGATTGGAGTGTTCAGCCAAGTCTTCCACCATTCGTCCGGGTCTACCGCCCCGATCTTCTTCCACTTCTCCACAAACCCAGCATTCGCGATCAAGATATCGATTCTCCCGAACTTCTCGATACACTTCTTCACGCTGTCGCCCACCGCTTTCTCATCTGTCACGTCATACAGCTCGGCGACTACAAAACTGCAAAGCTTGCGGGCGGACTCTGCCACGGATAGCAGAGCATCCGCGTACCGGGCGGTGATGGATAACTCGCTCGCGCGTACGCGTCCAATGCCGACTGCCCAACACCGCGGCTGGCCTACATGGAAGCAGGGTGCAGTGAACCTGAACAAATGCGAGGACAGGTGCCCACGTACTCCGGTGATGTAAACTAATTTACCCCTTTCAGACGGGTACTCAGGTCGAATCCTGGGTATACGTCCTGGTGCATCGTGAGAGCCGGTAATTCGGGGTGAGTTGCCATATTGTGATATGCAACCTGGCATTGTGCTATACAGATTAGTAGAACCTCTACCGTACGGGTCCTGCCCCATCATAATTACTCCGTATTGCCAACAGTAGTCGTTTCGTTGAGGCGGATGATTCAGCTGCTGACGAGCAACTCATCCACCGACAACTGCGCAGTGTAATGCTGCACCCTTCGGGCTGGGCGGCACGCCTATTCTCCGACGACGAATGTCGCCGTCGGTGCGTGAAGTCGACTGTGTTACAGATTCGAAGCAAGTGCTGTTAACTCGAGACGCTGTAATGACTGTCAATGCAGAGATACTAATCTCCGTTAGTGCCACTGTCAGCGTCACCTGCTCAATCGCGCATGGCAGCTCGTGGGCGAGCTTCGGACCGCACAATACGCTCCCGGTTCTCGTCGCACGGACGGATATCTCTGAGGTTCAGTCCTGCTCGCCGATCGACGAGAGAACGACCTGAATCATCTCGGGAAGGAATGCCGACTCACCTCCATCTGCGAAGGTATTTGATTCGCCGTCTATAATATTAATTGGGAATAAGCAGCAGCATAAAACGAGGCGATAGACATAGCGTGCATAGTCAGGATACATCCCTGTCGCCATACATAGATAATCTAAGCTTTCGAAACAGCGAGTGCCGGGGAGCAGGATGTCAGGAGAATGTGGTCTCTGGAAGAATGCGCGACTCACTGGACGGGCTATTCGAGTGACTTCAGTCGTAGGATACATGCTATTCCCTCATAACCTTCCACATGAAGCCGCTCTCTTCCGGACAGTCCTAACCAACGAGCTCTACATCTGTGCTACAGTCAACCCTAACCTGAACCTCCAGACGCGGGCCAGTGAGCATCGGCCGCCAGAGCTCGTCCCGCAAGGCCGCCCCGATATTCCAACCAGACATATCAAAGACCGTTCTTTCGCGTATGACCCCCTGTTCGTCCAGTACTGCCTTGGTCTCTATGCAGCACAAGTCCGTCCCTAGAATAATTGTCTTAAGCCCACGCGGGAGGCAAGTCAGGTGGAGGTTAAGCCAGAAGGGCACGTTCAGGCGCAGTGTCTTGAGGTTCGGGAAATACTCGAGTTCCCATCTGGCAGGTACGTCGAATAATTCAAGGTATAGGATTTTGGGAAACGTGTTGGAGGGTCCAGAAGAGTATGGCGCGCTCTCTCTGAAGTATGCACGGGAGCCGAAGGAGGGTGGCCAGAGGCTCAGGGATGACAAGGTGCTGTAGTACGATAGGATTGTGGCCGGGTCGGCAGCGCCGACGACGATTTCCAAGTTTAAATGGCGGCAAGTGGGAATCAGAGCTGCGACCGCAGCGGGACGTAGCGATTCCGGTTGAGCGTCGGCATCGCAGAAGGGTTGATCAAACACAAGAGTGAGGGTGCACAGGTTGAACAGGGTGCGTCTGTACGTTTCCCCGTCGCCCTTGTGTCGCGAAATGTGGTCTTCTATATGGCGGCGATAGACAGCAAAATCGCGGCAATTTTCGATGTATATATTTCGGAGGTGGACGTGGTGCGTTACGCTGAACCAAAGGCGGCTGACGCCGGCCAGAGAGGCGTATAGCTCCCATCGCCCTGGATATTCGCTGAAGCCCGACCGCCAGGGTTTGGACCAAGCGTATGAGACGATAATCTCGAGTACCTCGCGGGGAAGGTGCACTGCCAGTGGACGCCCAGGAGGATTAGGCTCACCGGCCAGCGCTTGTGCCTTCGGATAGGGTTCTAATGTGGGCATCGGTGATCCTTATCACAGAAATAAGATTCCAGTGAGACGCAGTAAATTTCAGGGAGTAGTGGTGAGTCTCACCGTGATACTGTGGCAAGAATATTTCTTACGGGCTCCGGTCCGGTATCTCCGCAACGGCCAACGATCCGTACTGGAACGCACAACGATGTACAGAGTCTACTGGCAGAATCAAACATCATACTAGCTAGGCTGGAGATATCCCTATGCAGTCCTCTGAAGAATTCTATCGGAATCATTCCAGGAGGCTCCTGCCAATGCCTTGGTATCCGATGGTTTGGGAATTTCCTCCATTTCTATGGGATTCTGTCACTCGGGATCTAGGACGTGCACGTAAGGGAGATCCCGAAAACCTTCCTTCTCCAACGCCTCTCTGAGGCGGGTAACTCGGTCACTTCTATAGTCAAACATCTTATAAACGTCCTCATCTCCGTACTCTGGTTTCCTTTCCGGCGCCGTCACTTTCCGCCATTGGACCGACACGAGATTACGTGGGCTTGCCATAGTTCTTGAACTTGTACGAGAGACCGAAGACGCGCACTTTGTCTGGGATGCCCAGGAAAGTTACCACGGCATCGAGCTCCACGAGCACGTATGCTTTCTCTGATTCCGGCTCGAAATCGTATCGGCGGACCCATTCATGAGCTTGTTCCTGCTCTATGATGAATCCAGCTGCAAAAATGGAGGGGATATACATGGCTATAGTACCTGGTCAGCCACGTACCAGCGTACGTATATCGCTCACTTACTATGGAGTTTGGCAGATTTACTGGAAGGATGGTGGTGTTGGGAAAAATGTTGGACGTAGGTTCGACTTTTATACAGGTCGGCTCGTAGTCAATGTGACGTGAGCTTCCTTGGGACCCACAACTTGGCCTAGACTCGGACAGTAAGAAATTCAACATTGTTAGACCCTTGTTCTCCATACAGCGCTACTTCTCGCGGAACACCACTACAAACTAGCAAACACCAAGATACGTGTTGTGTAAGGTCTTGAAATATGTATCGGGCTTTATACTCTGGTAGCTGTTGTATCAGTGTCGAGGAGCGAACATCATCCGAGCCCGTCCCAGCCGTGCAGAGCCGCCATAACTCTGGGACTACTTAGAGGCGTCTTAACGATATAGACGACAGCTAACACATCCGAATCAGTCCCAGGTAAGATGTGTGCCGCCTTTCCTTGCTTTTATCCCGGAGCTCACAACGGACCTTCACAGATAGAAAGTAAACTCAGAATGCCGTGCTCATCAGCTTCACCCCACTAGTGAAAGAAAGGGTCAATGCAAAGAGCGATCCTCACAATGAAAGTTCATGATACGGGATCATACATAGCTTGATGGCGACGATGCCACGTCTCTGGACTCATACTCTCGAAGAGTCCAGTCCAGGACGGTCCCAGGCCTCGAGGCAGACATGCCCATTCCGAATTTTGTGGTATCGAGAGTAATCAGGGCCGACTTTGAAGCGCCTGTCATGCTCGGTGAAGTGAAGAGAGCGGATGACGAACGCGAGTGGGAACAGGTCAAGAGTCAGTTTCATCGCCAAATGTCGCGTTTTGCCAGCAAAACCGAGCGGCGTCCCCTGTACGGCTCGATCATCAATGCGACCAAGGTATATTGCTATATTATGACCGGTGTCGCAACCACTCGAGACGTCGAGCGAATCTCTAACTCAGGCCCGCACGGGGCTGACCTTGTCTCGAAGGAGTGGCGCAGGTGGCTCGATCGCGTGCATAACGAGGGATTGACGATTGCCACTGAGTGGGAGTAGGGTTCACGAGGAAGATATGGGTGGTCCATGCACAAACGTTTGTACAGAGCATATTAAGAATGCCTAGATGAACACAGCCAAGCGCTCATCGATATTCCTAAACGGTTGAACGGGAGAACCTACTACTAAATCACTGGAAGGAATATCTCGCACTGAACAGAGGAGCCAAGAGACCTCTGCGGTCTCCATTTAGTCCGCAAAGAACGAGGGACCGGACTCGGGCGCTTAGAATTCCCCACAGGGCAGCGCGTGCATACGGCAAGCTGGAAAGTTGGAAGGCGGCACTTGAAAAGGCTAGCATTGGAGACTGGACGTGAAGCCAGGGAAAAAGGAAGCGGCCATATAGAGTCGAGATACCGTGCCTCTCTGCGAGCGCTCGCAGCGAATCCTGGACTTACTGACATGTACACGCCCGGGAATACCTGGTGACATAGACG